CTGCCACTGGAAATTTCAGCTTCTACTATAACTGAGAACACCCAACATCCTAGGTAGATATCATTCAAAAGATCAACCTCATCTCCTAATAAAAGTGAGTCCTTCGACCCTCTTGTTATTAGCGACTGCTTTCATCTTTATTTGTCCTGAATTTCATTGTCTTAGTATATATTGTGTTAGATATGGCTGCAAAAACTATTTACGACTTCATTTCCACCATAGATTATGTCCTGAAAGCTAAGGCAGTGGCTGAAAAATATAACTTCCCAGTACATCTAGAATATCAAGCCCCCATAGTAAATGAAAAGGCTAACGCTCCACCAGACGGAAAAATTACTGTTTACGACCGATTTATGTTTTTAGAGCTTAGATTCCCCCTTTTTCCTTTGTTTCGAGCAATAGTTCAACGTTATAAGATTCCACTTGCTCGATTCACCCCAAACCTAATATCAGCTGTTCTCGGATTTGTGAGACTTTGTGAGTTGGTGAAAGTAAAGCCTGGACTAATCGTATGGAGCTATTTTTTCATGGTCTGTGTTCCTTTGACCAAGTTCAGGGACTGGTACAATGTGAAGAGAAATCTGAATCGAAGGCAATGCAAATAGTGGAACTTTTTGACGGTTCCCCGGTATGGAAACCCAACTATTTTTTTGTAAAGGAACCTGAGAACTTCTGTATGGCTTGGGATTACCGTGAATCTCACGGACTAGGCGTGATAGCTGAAGACTTCGACGGATCTCTTGCTGAACGCTCCTTTTCTCGGCCAATCAAAGATTTCAGCAACTCACGATCGTTAGCCAAATCAATCCTCCATTCGACAACAGCACCATAATCCAAATAAGCATAATTACTGTCGCCACCATCAAAATCGATACCACGTAATTGAGGACCGTCATCGACCCTTTCTGCAAATTGAAAACCATGCGATATTGGTTTTCCTTTACTCCGCTTGCTTCTTCTGTTGGCAGAACCTCTCTTGTCATAAACCCAGGCATGATTAGACTTCTGCTTAACCGGCAAGGAATCTGTTGCATCATTAACCAATTCTACACTACTGTTGCACTGTCAATCTTGGAAGCCATCATCAGAAACTCCAACTTGTTGCTACTGCTACTTCTTTTGGAACATCAACAACTAAGCATTGTGCCAGTTCAACTGTTATAGATAAATTGACATCAGGTATTACCACTTGGCCTTGCTCCTGCTCGCCCTTAGTTTCATCGACACTTGGACACACAGAATTATCAGTTGCAGGTGAAGCATCATCAATGCTGTCACAAATAATCTCCTCGATGTCACTGTTGCTGCTAGAAGACTCACAAGATTTCTTGCAATCAACTTTGACAGACTCGTTTTCACCGATAACAGGTTCATTAGACAAACAAATCGGATCAGTTTGCTCACAATGCTCAGTAACAACTATAGTTTCAATAATCGGTAATGATTTACTCGCCGAAACTGTATTTAATTACTGCAACACCAGTTTGTTTGTAGCAACAAATGCTTGTTAAGGGTGCTCAGACTCTTTCTATAGGCCTTCCCTAATATTTCCACATTCAGTATCAAAATCACTAGGTAGCCCCCCCGGGTGTCGACGATAAATCTATCATAGAACTTTCCTGCAATTGATTTGTTGTGCCAACTGAGCTTTCACTTACTTCCTGCGTGTGCTGAGTTTGCTGAACCACCTACAGATTCTGTACCTACGGCACTACTTGCTGTAACTGCAGCTGTTGCAACACCTGCATAATCTGTTGCTCTGCTAACCCCTGCAAATTCTATGTTGTGACACTTCTGAATACTGCACCGGCAACACATGATGATACTATGCTGGAAGCGTTGCTTGTTGATACTGTGCCAGCAATATTTGCTGATATTGCGTTGGCGACCCCTGATGTTGCTATGTCGATGATTCTGCTCGCTAATGTTGCACCGACAACACTTGTTGTTGCTGCGTCGGCGACAGAACTTGATGATATTGTGGCGGCAGAACCTGCTGTTGTTGCGTCTGCATATGAACTTGCAGCTGTTACGGCGACAAAACCTGCAATTGTTGCCCCTGCATCTGAACTTGCTGTTGTTGCAGTGACAGAACCTGCAAGTTGTTACGCCTGCATCTAAACTTGCTATTGCTACGATGATAAAACCTGCAGTTGCAGTGCTCGCGCGTGAACTTGCTGATGTTTCGGTGACAGAACTTGCAGTTGTTGCACTGGTATCTGTTGCATCCTGTTATGACCAACTGGCGCGCTGTAAAAATCATGTGTAGCCATTGAAATACCAACAGCGGCCAGCCCCCCGAATCTTGAGGGATCTTGCACCATAGACCAGTCATGCCATCCGTCGACACAACTAGATTACTGTTTCGCGCCATATTGACTATATGATTGAGGAGAGCGACCAACAAGGGTAGCCTGCCACCAGATATTATTTTCAGCCTCCAAAGAATTATGTCCTACATGTGAAACTACGGGCTGTTGAGAGAAATGCCCACCAAGTGGTGATGGATAATAAGAATATGAAGATTGGAGAATACGAGGCGACCTATTATATGGAAAAGGTGTATAGTTCGGATCCCTAGGGCTACTAAGACCATAAATATGACTATTAGAATAGTCCATAATAAGAAAGAAAAATAAAGATTTTTTTTTAAGAATTTTTTTTTTAGAAGAAAGACCACCACGATGTAAGAATCAAACCAAAGTTTGTCCCACCGGTCGTGTCATTTTTTATGTTTGAGCAAAATCATCACCCAGGTCATGAAAGGAGACAGAAAACAACCCGAACACAAAAATAAATCAAAATGACCGTGGATGTGTTTTGAAACCGGCCTCGGACCTAGAATCGAGCACTTAGGGTTAACATTGGTTTGATATTAATAAGAAAGATATAGAGAAAGAGTGAGACAAGCCAAAGTGATGGCCTCCGATTGATTAAATTGGGCAGAAAGAGAGATATGTAGTGCCGATAAGCTAGACAATCATGTCGATGACATACTACTACAAAGAATCGAATTTACTGAAATAGAAAACGATGAACGACTACCTATTTCTATGAAGAAAAACATGCCAAAAACTATTTAATTTAGGCTAAACTATGAATACATGAATAAAAGACATAAACGAAAGGACGAAAAAGAAAGAAAAATGATAATAAATCGATGATGAGTTGAGTTGGGTTGTTCTCCTCTGCCTCGCCCTTGGCCATCTTTAAACAGAAAGGAAGTTGGAGCCGGCTGCAGCTTGCTTCCTTGGGCTGAAATACTCTCCTCAAAAACAGGGATGTGGACTTAGAAGTAGTGTAGTAATCCTCCACTTTCTTGAACGACAGCAAAAGATGCTTCAACTTAATCAAAGCCCATAAAATGTATTTTCATCCAACCAAATCACTTCCCAAGTTATATGAATCAAATAGAACACCATTAGAACACCATTAGGATACGTATGTAAAAAAATAGAACACCATTACGATTCTGTTTTTTAGTTCCATACAAATCCCACTAATGCAGCACTCCAATTACTAATGTGGTAGGTATTTTGATCAGAATACAACTTCTTCTTTTTAAGCAAAAGTGATAAATTGATAATTAATATGTCACTTCACTTATTGCGTCAAACCTTCTCACGTAATAATCCTCCAATCCAAAGCCAAATATGAATAGTATTAACTCCCAAAATTAATCTCTAAATCGTATGAAACAAGTCTAAGGCTTTGTTTGGTTGCATTGAATTGGGACCAAGAATTGGAATTGGAGCTCTATAATTCCAATTCTTGTGTTTGGTTGCTAAAAATAGAGGTCCAAGAATTGTAATTATAATTTAAGATAGTGCTCAATTCTTTATTTTCAATTCTTTTGTAGGAGCAAATAATTAGAATCCAAATTCAAGGCACTTAAAAAAAACATGCGGGTTATAGCTGGGTCGTTTTCGGGTTATAACCTAATCGGGTCGTCCTATCGATTTTTGTCTTTTGGCCTTTTTTTATATATTTTTTATAATTTTATTTTTTTCAGCTTTTTTCTTTTTCTTTTTTTTTTTTGCTTTCAGCGCTTCTTGGCGTTTTTCTTTTCTTTTTCTTTTTCTTTTTTTGGGTTGTTTGTCTTATTATTATTATTATTATTATTATTATTATTATTATTATGATTATTTCATATATATTATTTTAATAATCATCAATAAAATCAATCTAAAGTTAACATTGTATCTTTTTTACAAAAAAATCAAAAGTATAGCTGTAACCAAAAAAAATTAATAACTAAATATTTTAGTTTTGGTTTAATATTTTTATTATATTATGACATAGTAAAAAACATAACATTTTTATTTTTTTAGTAGAAATTATTCCATATATACACCTATATTATAATACATATATATATATATATATACATATTTTAACTATTCATGACATCGTTTCACAAAAAATTATGTAAGTTGAGTTTTAAGTATCTATTATTTCATATATAATTATATACTAAAAATAAAAATATTTAAGCATATATTATATACTAATGTTAATCTATGTATAAATGAACCTCAATATTCATAAACTGAATTTACAATGTTATATAATAAAAATCTTTTTAATTTTTGATATAAATCAAAACATCAAAAATTAAAAATTTTGAAAAATAATAAAAGAGAGGACAACAAAGATGTTTTACATGTTACTTGTTTGTGTATTAAGTGAGAATTTTAAGTATCATATTAATAGTTCTTATACGTAATAATATTTCTTTTGTTTCCAACAAAAATGTGTGTACATAATAAATTACAAAATTGATATAGTAAATTAATTAATAATAATAATTCGTTTTAACAAAAAAAAAAGTAAAAATTGTATTAGTTAAACAACCACAAAGTAGTCAAATATACATGTACATAATGAATTTATTTATTTTTTTGTGTTATACATATCCATAATAAATTAAGTTTTTTTATAAAAAAAAATTTTTGACAATAACAAACTAATTTCAATTCTAAAGTATCCAAATTTTTATTCATCCAAACGCAAGAATTGGAATTAGAACCTTAATTATAGTAAATTTTCAAGATCTCCCAAACAAGAGAATTGAAATTGAATTACAATATTAATATCTCATTTTCAATTTAATAGTTGTAATTCCAATTCAATTGCAATTCAATCTAATCAAACGAAGCCTAATTGAATAACAATTACTAATCCTTCTCCGATTTGAACACCAATATTATAGAAACTCTGTCTCTTTGGTTGGCGGCCAAATCCACCTGCCAAAAAGACCCAAATTTATTTTGGAGTCTAATGCCTATCAACCTTTTTGCACCCACTCCGTATGTCTTGTGTGAAATCAGAGCCCAACGTTGACAGCTCCATGAGCTTACAATTATTAATACAACCATTAAAATCCTCCATAGGAAGATGATCCGGTTCAGAAAACCTACTTATTCCTCAACCCGGCGTATAACATTAAAATCACCTTCTATCATCCAAGCTTTTTCAGCATGCTGTGTCGAATAATCACGCATTTTACCATGAACTTTGACGATCATGCCGTGTTGATTTGGCTGTTGGCATATACCGCAGATATGAGCATCTTTTCCTGCAAGTTAGTCTGTACAACCTCCATATGCAAACTTTGATCCGATTCTCCTATTGTTTTGATTTGAAAAACATGATTTGCAAAAATCCAGATTTTACTATTATGTGATGAAAATGCAAGATCAAAATTTAGTGTCCTTCGTGTGCTATCTAACCTATCAGAGTGCAACATTGGTTCTAGAATGATTAACAAACTAATATTTTACATTCTAATCAGGTTCTTTAACCTCCTTATTGAAGCAATATTTGCAATGCCCCTAATATTGGAAGTATATACAGTTAGATCAAAATAATGCTTGTATATACTTTTATTCACAAGTAAAAGCGTAGAGATGGAAAAATCTGAGCGAATTGTGTTGATCCATTAGAAAGGGACGTTCAATGCTGTGAACACCTTCGAATTAAGAAAAAATTATTGATTGGGGAAACCCTAATCTCCTGTTGATTGCTCCGGCGACTATGGCGGCATCTAAACCCTATAATCTTCTTAATTGATTAGAGACTCGTGCTGATAACGTGTTATAAAAAAAAAAAAAACTGCAGAAGAAAAATTTCTTCAAGTACATCTTATTCTGTAGAGAGTGATCTCTATTTATAAGCAAAGTAGGTACAGAGAGAGTGATCTCTATAGATGGAATATCCTCATAACTCTTCTATCTTGTGCACATCCACATTATTAATATAATTATATCAGATTAAAGTTTATTAATTTTTATTTTCTTTTCTTTTTTTGGTTATAGCACCAAGTTTTGAGTGACAAATAAATTCTCTAGAACGTATTATTATATTTTGGTATATAATATTCGGTTATTTCACAGTTTTGCCCATTACAAAAACATCAAATGTCGAAAAAAATTAATATTGTAAAAAATAACTATTATGGTGACTTAGTGTGTAGTTATACCAAACATTAGTGGTTAAAAGTAAATTCCTTCTTTTATTTAAATAACCTTCTAAAATTATTATAAATCCATTTTCTTAAATTATCTTCAGCCTCTGTTTTTTCTTAATTTCTTTTATGCATTAATTTTGGTTGTCAGATGGGAATGAGGTCTTAGTCTAGGTTCTAAAAGTGGGTCTAGAAATTGAATATCACTAGGGGTATATACGGTATTTTTCCATATTTATAAGTGAGAACAACTGGAGTTAGTTTAAAAAAAAAAAAAAAGAAAAGAAAATTTTGGTAGTCATATTTTTATGTGAAATTAGATGTTTAGTGAAAAAGTAAAATGTGACTAAGAGAATGAAAAGATAGAAATTATAATTTGGTAGATTTTAATTACAAAAGTTTTACTATTTATTATTATTAGATAAATTTGAGCAGTCACATAACTATTTTAAGGAGTATTAGACTCTCTGAATTCCTGTCTCTTCTTTTCTTCTATTTTTTGAATTTAATGATTCATAACTTCAAATAATAGGAATAAAGATTTTTGTCCTCTGAATTTCTTCATTTATTTATTTTTTTTGGCTTAATTCCTCTGAATTTATCATTTCCATCATCAACCTACATATATAACTAGTTATTTTGCTCACAATTTTGATAATCATTTTCACACAAGTTTTTCCTTCAACACCATAATTGTTTTAATCCTTTCATCTTCTTTTACATTCCTTACGAATCTTGATTTTTTTTATTTATTACAATCTTTCCATATTCTCTTAAATTATTATTGGCTAAACTGTAAGAGCCTCTCCAATATTCTCTATGTTTCTGTATCCGGCGATTAGGATATTGAAATCTTGCTAGGCAAAGAAAAATGTTCTATTGATCCATGCCTCATGGCGATCAGGAATTTAGTAATCAATATCTAAGAGAATTCATTGTTATAGGAATGCATAGCTGACTTATTAGTAGTATATAAACGAATCTTTCATTTCATGTTGCATATGGTTTGTTAAATGAATAGATTTGTAGTTAAAAAAACAAGCCAAGCTCGATTTCTGCGTGGAATTAAAACTCATTTGAAAACTCAACCCCAAATATTACTCCCTCTGTCCCTTGATCTGGACGTTTTTTATTTTTTTTATTTTTTTTTTGTGGTGAAAGAGGGGGTGTCAACATACAAGCTCATTCAGACGCCTCACTAGTTGTTTGGTGTGAAACAAGCTGACCTACCTGCACATACTTTTCCCTGAATTTATATTCCCAGTCCTGCAGAACTTCAAGCTCGGCGTCACTGAGACCATCAATGTTTCCGGTGAGGTCTTTGGGGTCGAATGACATGAGAGCTAGCGCACGACTTGCATCTCTCCCGGCAAACAAGGCGTAGGGCCCGCCAGGACCATAAAACATCCTGCAACATTGGCCAACAATGATCAGAAACATGAACGAACCCTGACTAAATGTCACTCCACAGCCATAAATCAAGCATATTCATATTTTACAGGAAGAGCAGGCCACCAATGACTCAAATTTAGAAAGTTTGGACTGATGCAGCAAATATGTAAGTTAAGGTCGAAAACAATATGATGCAAGTGAAAGTGAGATGGTTAAATTAGTTTGCAAAAATACTGCCAATGAGAACAATCAAACTCCTCCATGGGATGACATGCATAGCCTCACTAAAAGGTAATATGTAATACCAGTGTGGTTCTTGCTTCAGTAAAAGGCCACTAGTTGGAATACGCTTCTGAGCTATTAAGATATCGATACAAAAGATGTGGATGACTTTTTGTTATTGCTGAGAGTTGCATGTCAATAAGGTGGTTTATTACCACGAAACAGAGATTGCTGGTTATATTTAGTTTTAAGATGTTGGTGAAGACAAATGTTAATAAATCTTTTGGCTCAAGATTCCACATGTTTAGCTTTTCTGGGTTGGTAACCTGCAGACATGTTTAGTTTTTGGCTCAAGATGTGATGATTGTCATGCAGTATAAGATGAATGTCCTAAGTAAAAACCTAGCCATGGTTGTCTATAGTTGAACAAAATGTGATTGTAGAACAACCCCACCCCCCCACCCTTCTTCCTTCTTAATCTATTTCAAGTTTGGAAGCTTTTCGTACTTTCAGCATCAGCCATTGTCTTCAGGTTCTAATTCCAAAATTCCTGCATGACGTACCCACTCCAGTCGCAGTCTGAACTAAATTACAGGCATCCAAATAGGGCAGGAAGATTAAACAGCAACTTCACATTGGATGTTTCTTTTATGTTATATCCAAGTTCATAAACTCAGTAATCTCAACTACTCACGAGTTTATAGGCAATTTCAGAATTGTAATAAATTGTTGGTCTTTTATGTTAAAGAATGATCGGATGGCATGCAATTAGCACTTTCAATGCCCGTTTCATTTTCTGGGGGAAAAAAAAACCCTCTACACATTGATAGCATTTCCTTTCTTAGTCATCCACTTGGCAATACTCCTTTCAAGACTCTGGACCCTAAGGTTTATTCTAAACACTGCATAACTCAAATTCATAAGCTAATTTAGAATATCCAGAAAATTTATCGCATACCCAGAAAAACAGAATATAGATAACTTGCTTCTGCAGTAAATTTAGAACACTTGACTACCATTAATTGGGATTTCATTTTGCATTTTGTATTCAGTATTATTTTACTACTTCAATGAAACAACTTTTCCTTCCTATGGCAGAGGTAGTGTTTTCACATATAACTCATCAGATACTGACCCATTCTGTATTCACTAAATGAATTTTTACTCTGTTTTTAACAATACACATAACTGTAAACTGGACATAGCTTAGATAGCTTACTAAATAATTGATAAAATAAGGGGGGGAAAAGTTTTCGCACCATCAGAAACGTTGCTACAGGGAAATCCATAATGTCAAAACAAAAATATGGACCCAAAGCAACTTTTGGCAATTTTTGACAATAATAGCTCCTAATTTGTTTTGGCTGTTATGGGTTCCCTTTGATACTGATTAGATATCCGATGTTAGCAAACAGAAGTTCAAAGTTCAACACAGTAATCAGGTAGACCATCAAAGATTCAAAAAGGAAAGAAATATTAAACGTGTGTGAGAGAAAACCTTGAACGAGAGACATCATAGATCTGTCCTTTGATGGCCATGAGCAAAGGTTTATTAGGATCTTTCCCATCATATGCCTTCAAGTCTTCCTCAGTCACATCTCCTATTTGTACGGGTTCACGGACGACATATTCATTAGCCCTTTTCACCTCCACATAATCCCCGGCTGCCACGAACATGCCACAAACTATTTTGTATGTAACGAACATTATTGCTAGGATAGTGAAAAATGCAGCTGGTGATAAGCCGGTATAGTGGAATATGGATTCGGTCAAGCTTGCCCACAGAGTCATCTTTGCAAAACCTTGTCAGTAGCTTCAACTATTACTTGGAGCCTGATTTTTTTGATGAAAATTAAATATCAAAACTAAAGTTCATACTATGAAAGAAGAATTATGGGAGTAACCAAGTCATATCACAACTTCTGCGATAACAGAATATGAAAATCCAGTATAGCTGGCACGGAAGCATTGTCAAGAAAAATAACCAATAGTTCAACAACAACATATGTGTAAGTAATGTAAACGTAACGAAATTAACAAAAGCAAAATGATTACTGAAAGTAAGTTTGAATATTTACTCGAAAGAATAGTTTGGTAAACTCATCCTCAAGTGTAAACCATTGCTCCCTTAAAATAATACAATATCAGAAGTTTGGTAAAGTCTAACATAACCATCACCAAAGCTAGTCAATTTACAATGGCTTTAATCCGCATACTATGACTAACCCAAAAGTTAATTGCATATTTTCCATCACAGTAAGCAGCAGACAAAGAAAGAACCAATTTTGAACTCAAACTAGAAAACCATACTAACAGGAAAACTTCCTACAAATTACAGTGGTACACAAATCACCAAGAACCTAATCACGAATTGAAAATCAAGCGTCATCAATTCAGAAAACTTTAGTCGTCAAACAAGAATACACACACCCAAAAAAAGCCCAAAGAACAGGTTATACAAAGGGTCTCAGGGAAGAAGATAATACAGTAAAAATCATTTTAAGGTATTACCGAATCAGCAAAGAAGACTCATTCAAAATTGAATATATTAGAGCCAGAGAACAACCAAATGAATAATCCATGATCATTATTGAAAGAATCAGACTTGAATTTTTTTTTTCCTTAATCATTTCCAAGAAGCCCAGGCCATGATTGATTGATACAAAATACTGCTCCAGCCATACTAAGCTTCAAATTTGAATTTGCTACAAGTTTCAGAATAACATCACTGTATACATACAAAAAAAAAAAAAAAACCCGCAACACCAGCATACCTTACACCCTTGAAGGTGCAAATTTTGCAACCCGGATCGAAAAATCAGAACCCTTTCGATGTTATAACTATAGTACTGCTGTTTCAGTGGTAAGATCCGAGTAACAGGAGCAATCGGGTCAAAGCTGTGTGAGTTGGTGAAGATGATAAAGGTTGGTGAAAGGTGATGACTGATGAATTCAAAGCTGTGTGAGATGAACATTTTTCTTGTTTTATCTTTATTTGAGGAAAAATTTGTGGGTTGGTTAAAGAAGTTTAATGGGTCTGGAGGATAGGCATTTGGAGCCCAACAACTTGGGCCTCACAACGTACCAATTTCCGTGTCTTTTGCATTTTGGAGATTGATGTTCCTTTTTGTTTTGTTTTGTTTTTGTTTTTTTTTTTTGGTTTTTGTTTTGTTTTGTTTTTTTGGATGAAAATTTGTTCATACCAAAAAATGTAGGCACGCAAAACGCAACCTATTGCAAATAGAGCTAGAAGAGACATCATCGACATGGTGCTCATAATGTGGATTAGTTTTAAATAATTAAATTCTAGTTCTATTAGTGAAGTTAGCGGAAATTAATAAATCAAATCATAAAATATATATATATATACATATAGTTTATAATAATATATCTTAAATCATAACGAGAACGTCTCTTTGTATAATTACAAAAATCAAATTGTGTACGCTTAATTCTCCAAGACCCTAACTTGGTTGGGGAATTACATGGGATATCAATGTTGATTATTTGAATACTATTCAATTTCTACCGATTTTCTGAAATCTGGAATCAACCATAGATGGAAATTTTTCTTGAAGAAAGATATGAAAAAATGAAATTCAAATGTTTCATTAGAGGAATGTAAAATAATACACAACAGCACTGTTGCAGCTCAACTGTTCTCTCTCCAATTTCGCGACAAGTAATTTTTTTTTTTTTTGGATGAAAATTTGTTCATACAAAAAAAATGTAGACTCCCAAAACGTTGTTATTGCAAATAGGGCTGGAAGAGACATCATCGACTTGGTGCTCATAATGTGGATTAGTTTTAAATAATTAAATTCTAGTTCTATTAGTGAAGTTAGCTCAAATTAATAAATCAAATGATACAATATATTTTTCATTTTTTTTTTTGATAAAAATATATCTTAAATCATAACGGGAACGTCTCTTTATATAATTACAAAAATCAAGTTATGTACGCTTAACTCTCCAAGAACCTAACTTAATTGGGAAATTACAGGAGATATCGATATTGATTATTTTGAATAATATTCAACATATTTAGAAATGACCGATTTTTCAGAAATCTGGAATCAACCATCGATGAAAATTTTTCTTGAAGAAAGATATGAAAAAAATGAAATTCCAGAGAAAATTCAAATGGTTCATTAGAGGAATGTAAAATAATACACATCAGCACTGCTGCAGCTCAAATGTAGTCTCTCCAATCTGGCGACAATAATGAAATCAAAGCACAGATTTTCTCCTGAATGATTAGCAGTGGTATTTGGAAGAGGATATTATAGCTAACTAGCAAGGCGACTCCAAGACCATTTAACATGTGGGATGAGTTTGGAAACACAGAAGCTTCTAAGTTCTATGTGGAAGGGGTTTCGAAGAGAGACTGTAACTTCAATCCAAATTATGAGACTTTCCCGAAAAGGATAATGGGAAAAGAGAGATGGGAAAAACACACACAAAATGAATACAAACAAACAACTCGAATGTTCATACTCAATGAGTCACTAACTAGGGAGTAGCGACATGTATTTTCACCATGTTTCACTGCCAAAGTAGACCAAGAAAATCTAACTGTGCGAGAAAAGAAACTCTTCATTCAAACCAAAATGCCAGAAGCGTCTATAATCCCAAATAACAGCAACTACAACCACAACCCTTCATCCCCTCTCTGGGGGGCGAATAAAAGGATCATAGGCTGCTATTAGCTTGGCAACACACTTCTGGCAAAAGATCCCAAAAGATGAACAAAATGGTTCAATGCAGAACAATGCAAAACAATTCATTCCGAATTTGAAACAGACGTACTACTATATGTAAGTTGCTTGCAATACCTTAATATCAAGCAGCAGATCAGCTATCATGCATTAAAATGAGCTCTGATAACGATGTAATAGTCGGGCTTTACACATCTCTAGCAATGCAGCACCCCTAATGGAAGCTAAATCTATAAGGGAACTGATATTCATATAACATGTCCTTTGGTCATGAACAGAAAATGAAGATAAGAATAATACTTTTTCAAAAAAAAAAAGAAAAAAAGATAAGAATAATTGGTTTGCTTTATTACGGAATACCCAGCAGATGGATACTGGAAAAGAAAACATATGATCTGATTCCAATTTCAATAGTGATCACTCACATAATTGATAATGTCGAGATCTTCCATTTATCAAGCAAAGCCATCTCAGACACAAGCCACTTGGCAAGCAACATGCAAAAGATACAAAATTATAACTGAAAGAAAACAAACTGCACACACCCAACATGATGACCAAAAATTTCTCTCTAACCCTACCACATGCTAGGAAAACAAAAGCCAGTAGTTCGGAAAGACCTTTGCGGCATCATCTCAGTACAGTGGTTCTCCCAAAAGCAATCAATGGGGCTATAGAGCAGGAACAACACGTAAGCGTACTAGTACATTTCAAACACCACCAACAAGAGTTAATATGGGATAAAATATTGATTCGCCTGCAATTCTAGAGGTTGGAAATGTCTAATATTAAAAGAGACCACTAGAATATCAAATTTAATGATGCTGTTTAATCATGCAAGGAAGAGAATCTTAGATAGCGAGTAATTAAGAGCACAAGAAATGCAAATCCAACATCTTTTCCTATGCGTGCAGGAAAGATGATATTAATTCATACATCAATTTAAAACCTTCTCATAAAACCATATTTACACAGTAATAGAGAGGAAAAATTTCACATGACACTAACAAGACAGACACCAAAAAGGGCAGTTGGGGGAGGGGGGATGTTAATATGAAAAACCAAAAGAAAACTATGGAAGTATAAGAGTGAACATCAGGTCACGGGATCATTTGAGATGGATTCATCACAAATGAAATAGCATTGGAAGTTCCATTGTCTCACCTTGGAGAAATAACTATGCTAGATAAGCACACAAAGTAGAATTTTCTGTAAAGGTACCAATAGGAAGTACCTGATTTAAAGTCTACACAGCATAAGTCTCGTCCAGAAGCTACGATGTATAAGCAAAATTCAGTCCCTAACTGTTCAATAAGTTGTGACTTGTGAGGGACTAAAGCCTAAGGATACTGCTAAATGATTTTAATCCTACACTCAACTTATATCATCTATCAAAGCAATTGTTTGTAAATAATCAAAACAATGAATTATGTACAAAATATAAGGCACGTTTGTGCCCGATCAAGCAATCAGCAATTGTAGAAACCCCAGGAATCCAAACTTCATGAGTTACAATTACTCAATGCTCTACAAGGTTCATCAAAATTCCTTCAATGTTTCATTATCCAGCAGTAAAGAATCCAAAATGTCAATCTTTTCTACTCCACTTGACAGAGGACCTGGAGGTTTTCTTGGTTTACACAGCTTCTTTTACCTGCTAAATAATTTCAAGAGTGCACAATGAATATTTCTAAGTTGACAACAGAAGGAAGAACTTTAGAGAAGGATAGAGCAGAAACAACTAAAAACCTTTATGGACCCCAAAGACCTTAAAATTTGAAAATAAAGCTTGGACGAGATAAACTGTTTTGCCGAATCAGGAAGTTCAGGAGATAGCCAAAAAAATTATACATTTAGCATCAATACAATTTTAGGTACAGAAATCATATCCAGGACTAACTAACATAGCAAATGAGCGAAAGAGCAGAAATGTATGATGGAAAGACGCTAAGAACACGACGGTAGCGGTACTAATTTGAGCCATTACCCAAAATCTTAACCTAACCAGCCCACTTGCACAATTGCACTAGTAGATTGAGTTACTCAACGTTATCTTGACTCACAGGTTAATACTCATCATCATGGGGCAAATGACCTGCCTGTCATTGTGACAGCTTAGCTGAGTTGACTCATCAAATTTACTCCATATCTAACCTAACATACCCACTTCTAACTTCTAACGTCACCAGAAAAATATGAAAAGAACAAAGAAGTAACCATAATCGGCTAAACATAAGGGAAGAGTATTGCCAAAAGTTACAAACTTTTCTTTAACCAAGCAAATAATGTACTTGAAGATTGATGAATGGTAAAGAGCTGAAAGAAGTTTGTAAACAAGAATAATTACAGAAGCATACACATGAGGCACATTCATACCTTTGCGAAGACTGACCATTTGAAGGATTGGAGAAGGCAGCAAACACATTTGTGTAGGATCGAGTCAGATATGCAAAATTGGAAACTGGAGGAAGTGCAGGCATCCGTTCACCTTTCTTCAAAAGATTCTCTATACTAAGCCTCTGCAAGGTCAAAACTGACCTGGATTCCCTCCACACAAAAGCTAGCAGTCCATCTTGAATGACATAGAGTGAACCAGGTTTTGAACCAGGATATCTGAAACCATAGCCGTTGGCAATACCTTCTCCAGTATAAGCATTTTTCACATCAATAACATTTCCATCTCTATCAGTCTCCCAAGGGAAAGTATCAGGTGAAATCTCATCAATATTCACTATAAACATAGCCGAGCCATTTGGGTGTAGAACATAGTGAGTACCTTCCAGTATCTTGGTAGCAATGAGCAAATTCTGCCCATGTGCCTTTTCATAAGACAGCAAAAGAAAAAAGAGAGCTTTCCCAAGTTTGTCTTCATTAGGCTTCCCAGGAGGCCAACCAAATGTACCTCCCCAAAGACCAGAAAACTCCTGACCTGGTACTGGTTCCCTCATGGGCAACTTGTAAAGAGCAAATCGGCTGTCATGCATGTTGGGCCAAGCCCTGTACGTTGATAATTTCACAGTTGCAGCATGTAATGTCAGTCCAACTGTATCTCCTGAATATAGAAACTCGTGAAGCTGAGCATGTTTATTTCCACTAACAGAAGAATTTCTTTTTGAGAACTCATGGCTACTACCAATTGAATTTGATTTTCGAAGTATATTTTTGAAACTATCCCGGAAATAACCAGCAATAGTCTTCTTTTTGGCGTATTGAATCTGATCTCCATCACCGGACTGAGAAATTTCACAGCCACGCGTACAATTGAGATTCTTCCTGACCTCACTCATGTCAAGTTGTGTAGGATCGAACAGTAATCTAGAATCCACTTTTGAGACACTACTGCTTCCACCAAGCTTATACATCTGCATAAGCAGCATTCTTCTTTCAGCTAACTCTGCCAGATCCTTTATGGAATCAACATCAGACTTCAGACGAGGAAATAATAGCACATTTTTTGCTTTTGGGACCTCCAAACCTACTTGCCTGGTGACAATGTCTAATAGCTTTCTCCTATCACCAAATGCCAATCTGCTAAACGGCACTCCTGAGGCATTTAGCCCAACTATCCTCTGTGACTTTGAAGCACCACCATCCAACCGGGAAATTTTTTCCAACTGTTCTCTATCACGATCGTAGGCAAAACTCTTACTCTGGACCAATTTACCACCATTTCTCCTAAGCCGAGGCTCAACTTCCAATAGAAGCACGTTGCAAGTTCGATCCACAGCCTTCAAAGAACCAGGATATACAAAGTCGCTTTCCCTCTCCCTTCCATGCAAATAAAATTGAGCAGATCCCTCATAGTCGCACAGAATTTCAAATACAGGTGCCCACAAAATCGGACCATCTTCAAGACCTAATGGACCAAGCTCTTGGGGTATAATTCGGCACCCAACAACTGATATGAAACCCGGCATGATATAAACTACATTGCCAAGTTCAGGATTTTGATGAACCCAAATCCCCAGCAATGGCTGTATCCCAAAAATGAACCGGCATATTGCCTTGTATGAAGAAACTCCTTTCCTCCACTCAATAAGATCCTGGTAAGGAATCACCCCAAGCTTATCACATTGTGCATGCCAAACCTTGTCGGAAGCCACTAATTCACACAGGGCTCTACAGGTAAGACCAACTCTACACAAATCCTTAGGAGTGAGGGACCTAGTAACTAAGACTAAAACATCATCCGGTAGATCTAGAAGCAACCCAGATCCACAGTGATCAGATACCATGACATAAAAATTAGATAAAAATGCCCTTTTCTGACCGAAATTTCCCTATAAAATTATCTCCTTAATCCATATATAAACTAGAAGATTACTGAATAATTCTGAATATGAGAGCTGATCAATATTCGAAAAAATATCCCAGCAGCACTCAACAATCCATGAACCTCTATAAACTGAAATGGTCCAGTTCTTTACACACATACAAGATCAAAATTTAATGCATCTCAAACCCAGAACGTATATGATAAAAGGGTCGGCTAAACAATCAAGAACACTCACATTCGCAAGCTAAAAATTCAACCTTGCTAGCCCAGATGCTTCAGTTCCTGAATCGACACCAAGAAGCAAGCTTTCCTACTAATGAACTTCGGTTGGCAAAACAAATAAGGAAGCAAAAGATACATATGATAACTACTTGCTGGAATCAAATCAGCTGAATTTGATTCGAGACGACCACCAACTCTAAATGATGAATATTGAAGATAAATTCGGGTTGGCTTTTTTCGCTTTCTTTTTTCCTCAATCTTTCAAAACTAATGATGAAGCTGCTGAAGAATGTGGGATTGAATTGAAAGTGACGAAAGAAAGTATAATGGTATTTTTTTTCCTATTTTCTTTTTCGTTGTAGGCCTTAAGTGGCCCCGCCTGGCTTTTTCTTGCCAAATTTGACAGCTCGACAATGTTGAATTATCAATTATCAATCATGTTTTTGTTGACAATTGCATTCATCTCTCAAAATTTTCAAATAACATTTCGTAATTTGCCCTCAATCTCTATGTGAAGTAATTAAGTGAGGACGAAACGAGGACATGTGACGCATAATTAAACATATGAAGAAAAAAATCAACAATTGCAACGGATTTTAATAATAACTCGGTTTATTTTTTGGACAAATTGAATTATATTTGCGATGATGATTTGCAATAATGCTATTGTTTACTTAATTCAATGTATTGAGTTTGTTTTGCAATATTTTTTTCTAATAATTGAGAACAAAAATAATTCATAAATTGTTATAATTATCTCATAATGTGGATGTCAACAAGCTAGTAAAGTTTTTTTTTTTTTTTTTGGAGAAAAATGGTAAACTTGTATTAACCACGAAGAATAAAAAAACTGTACATCAGCCCTACTTCCTATTACAAATTATTGTACCTGACATTCCTAATCTGGTAAAAAACCAGATGTCATCACTACTACCCCATGCAATGGTTCAGCACTTTCCAAGTCACCTCTCTAATTATGTTGTCTATTCTATCTTGTATTTGAAGCTTCCTGTTGCCAAACTTCCTTGCATTTCGTTCCTGCCAAATGTGGTAAACCATAGCACAAATTGTGGCAAACATGACTCTTCGTTTAACCCTCCTGTATCTCCAAATTTTCAGCAGTCTATCAGTCCAACTGCAAAAGTTCCTAACAGCAATGTCCAAGCCAAGCTAGTTCAGTAACTTTGACAGCACTTTTCTGGCATATGGGCAGGAAAAAAAAAATGATTTACATCTTCTGTACCTGCATCACACAGCTTACACCCATATGGGCAGGAGAAAAACAGATGATTTACATCTTCTGTACCTACATCACACAGCTCACACTTGATAGATTCTCTGAGTAAATTCATTCTGCTGAGTCTTTCCTGTGTAATGATATCATCACTACTACCCCATCTACAATGGTTCTGCACTTTCTAAGTCACCTCTCTAATTATGTTGTCTATTCTATCTTGTACTTGAAGCTTCCTGCTGCCAAACTTTCTTGCATTTCGTTCCTGCCAAATATGGTAAACCACCTCACAAATTGTGACAAACAGGACTCTTCGTTTAACCCTCCTGTATCTCCAAATTTTCAGCAGTCTATCAGTCTAACTGCAAAAGTTCCTAACAGCAATGTCCAAACCAAGCTAGTTCAGTAACTTTGACAGCACTTCTCTGGCGTATGGGCAGGAGAAAAACAGATGATTTACATCTTCTGTACCTGCATCACACAGCTCATACCTGATAGGTTCTCTGAGTAAATTCATTATGCTGAGTCTTTCCTGTGTAAGGAGCTTGTTCTTCAGCGCGAGCCAGCAGATAAAACTGTGTTTCGGCACTACATATGGACTCCAAATGATATCAGTAGCTCTCTGTTTCATCTGAGGACCAAACAACCATCTGTAGCCACTCTTTGTAGTGTACTGTCTGCCTCGATTCCCAATCCATGTCCCATTCCGAACTCCTGTTTTCAACTGTTTCTTTATCTGTATCATCCTTTTCCAATGCCAGCTACAATCACCAGGGGGATGGTACTCCCAGATAGTCTGCTTTTTCAGATAAAAGATGTGGACCCATTTGATCCACAAGCTTTCCTCCTTCAAAGCGTCCCATATCTGGTTTCCAACAAGTGCTCTGTTCCACAATTCTGGATTCTTGATATGAAGACCACTTTCAGATTTATCTTTGCAGAGGTCTTCCCAAGCCACCAGGGACCAACATTTCCCCTATTCTTTCCTGTCCCATAGAAATCCTTGACAGATCCTCTCAATTTGGGTAATCACCTTCTTAGGAATGACAAAAATCCTGGCCCAATAGGAGTGTCGACTAAGCAATAGAGAGTTAATCAGAACAACTCTTCCAGCGTACGAAAGATGGCGTGTAGACAGCACTTTAATCTTTTGACCATTTTTCCACAAGTAATTGACAATCTTGTTCAGTCCACGCCACAGGGGATATAGGTACACCTAAGTATCTGATGGGGAATCCCCTTTTCTAAATTCCATTATCTCCTGGATTTTCTCTTGGACCTCACTGCTTACATTATCGAAGTATATATCAGACTTCAACACATTTATCATTAATCCTGTAGTGGTAGAAAAATCCTCCAATACTTTTTTGATCTTTTTAACAGACTCTAGATCAGCTTGGCATAGTATAATGAGGTCGTCTGCGAAGCTCAGGTTAACAATTCCCAATTTCTCAAAATACGGATGGAATTTAAACCCTCCCTCAGCAGCCTTTTTCTTAAACATTCTACTCAAATACTCCATAACCAGTAAAAACAAGAGAGGCGACATCGGGTCCCCTTGTCTAAGCCCTCTTCTCCCTTTGAAGTACCCGGCACTTTCACCATTCATTTTTAGTGAATAGGTACATGTCGTAATACATTCCATCACCCAACGATTGAACTTAGGCAGAAACCCTAACTGGCGGAGCATTTCCTCAATGAACTTCCAATGTATGGAATCATACGCCTTCCGAAGGTCAACTTTCTATATGCAGCTAGGCTTACTATTTTTCCGTCTATATTTCCTAACCAACTCTTGCGTCAATAGAATATTGTGCGAAATGGATCAATTCTTTATAAACGCACCCTGATTCAATCCAACAATCTTAGGTAGAATTCTACTTAGTCTCATACTGATAACCTTAGTAATGCACTTATACTCCGAATTACAGCAAACAATAGGGCGATATTCGGATGCATTTCTAGGGTTTTCTACGTTAGGGATTAATGACATGCTAGTTGAATGAAACTGTTTCAGGAGTTTACTTGTCTGGAAGAATTCCACTATAGCGTTGCAAACATCATCTCCTATCTCCTTCCAAGTGCCCCGATAGAACCTGCTATTGAAGCCATCAGGTCCCGGTGCCTTTTGCAGACCAATGTTGAACATTGCATGTTTTATTTCTGCTTTAGTAATGTTTTCAATCAGGGAGAGTTGTTGTTCAACAGACAGTTTGATCCTTGATTGAAAACCACAACTATTCACAGGAGAACGATGCAACTCGACACCCAACAATGCTTCATAATATCCAGTAAAGTGATCATTGACCTGCTGATAGTTTTCTACCATAGCCCCATCTTCCTGCATGAATGGCATTATTCTGTTATGATTCCTTTGCTTTTTTAGACTCGCGTGAAAGAATCTGGAGTTCATATCTCCATCTTGGATCCACTTGGCTTTAATATTCTGCTGCCAAAAGCTAAGGAGGGCCTGCGATGTATCAGTATACTCCTTGACACTCTGTTTCTCCTGCAGTTGCAGATTTTCGTTCAGAGGATCCTTCTTTAACATTTCCTGTAAGGCTTCCATTTGTTCCTTTTTCATCTGTACCTTTCCCTCTAGGTCTCCACCTTGCTTCCTACAAAACTTTTTCAGTTTCTCCTTAAGTAGCTTTTGTTTCCACCAAAGTTGATACTGGCGAGTTCCCTTACATTCTTTAGTCCAAGCCTGCTTCACTAGTTGCTTATATTCATCCAATTGCAACCACAGATTCAAGAACTTAAAACACGATCGTTTTCTGCTTTGGACACTGCTCCATTTAATGAGTAATGGAGTGTGGTATGATATTCCTTCAGGCATCACTGTTGTATAAGCAGGTTCAAATCTGTCCATCCACTGTTCATTTATGAAGGTTCTGTCCAATCTGGACATAATTCTATGAGGTCCAACCTGTTTGTTAGACCATGTGAAAGGTCCTCCAATGGTCTTTATTTCAATAAGTCCACATTGCTCTATTACCACCTTAAACATATCCGAACCAGCACTCAGGTTATCACTGCCACCGATTTTATCTTCAGCCCTGATAATGCTATTGAAGTCTCCCATTAACAGCCAAGGTCTACTGATCTTTCCTGCCTATGACAAAAGAGCATCCCATAACTCTCCCATTCCTCTTGCTTGATGATCCCCATATATCACTGTCACATCAAACATTCTATCAGTGCCTATTTCCTCAACTGTTGTATGAATCAGTTGCTTCTGTATCTCAACATTTAACAGTTTATACAACCCTCTCTTCCAAACGATCAGAATTTGACCTTTACTTGTAGTACTATGATTACCAATGTAGTCATAATTGGTCCACTTACTCTCCATTAGCTGAGAAACCTTCCCTCCATCCAATTTAGTTTCCTGTAATCTCGCCAAGCCTACATTATTCATAAAGAGAGCTTGGCCTATCTCTTTATGTTTTAGGGGACTATTAAGTCCCCTCACATTCCAAGACATTATGCTACACATGGTTACTAGGCCCTATATTAGGGCTACTAGCTCTACTATAGCAATTTCCACCTCCATTCCCTTTCCTTACTCCTTGGGGATCATACCTCCTCTCCCGCTCATTATGTATTTGTTTTGGTGTTTCTTGTATTGATGATTTCCCTCTATTTGTTCCTTCTGCTTTCTGTCCTTGTGTTTCCCTTCTGAGTATCATTTTCTTGGTACCAGGCATAGCAGGCTTAGGTCTATCTAGTTCTGTAATGAAAACTTCCTATACACTTACTTCACTTTGATTTGCCTGTTTAGGTTCCTGCTCCTTCTTCTTCCTTCCCTTTTCAACTAGCTTTTTACACTGTTCTGCTTCATGACCAAATCCCTTGCAAGTTGTACACTGGAAAGGTCGCCATTCATACCTGATGGGCTGTTCTTGGACTACGCTATATTCATCCCTCAAACCATATAGCATCCGGTAATCTTTCTGTAATATTCATCTCTACTAAGACCCTTGCATAGCCAGCTCTGTTCCTCAACATTGTCATTTCATCCATTTCCAAGGGTTTTCCTATAGTACTAGTTATCTGGCTTAATGTGATAGCATTCCAATATCTCAGTTGAAGTTTT